ATTCAAAACCCACGTGGATAGGTTATAGTTTACTACTTTTAACCAAAAATTTAAAATAATCTAATTTAATAAATTTAAATTTCAAGTAATCCAGTCTAAATTTCACATAATCTGAATTTACTCAGCTTTCCTCCTAGAGGGCGTTTCGTTGTGGGGAACTGCTTTACTAATACTGCGGCCTACAGGCCCTGATCCGTGCTGCCTATCAAAAACCATATGCTGGTGAGTTTAGCCCATGGGTTTGTAATTGCTGACCTTTTTAAAATTAACTGCTTATTATATTCTTAATTTTAATTATTATTATTTATACTGTATTTTTTTTTTGAAAGTCTACATTTCATTTAAGTGATATAATGGTCTGAACTTTTCTAACCTTCACTCTTCAAGTTATTTATATATTTTTATATATTAATGTTATAATAGAAAATAAAAATAATATTTTAATATTCATTTTTTAATATAACTCACAATTTGTAAATCTTTTTTTAAATTTTTTTAAAAAGTTTCCCTTAATTTTTATTTTATAGAACTCATTTGATAACTTTATCTCATAACTTTATTTATATCAATTTCTTACTAAACACAATAAAAAAATCAACAATTAAATAAAATTCTAACAAAATTACTTTTTCATGCGGTACTAATCAAATTTTTACACTTTTAGGAACTATTCAGTTAGAGACCAATTTTTTTAAAAGAATTTTTATATTAGAAAAGTGATTAGAAAATATTATATGAAAATTTGATAAGTATTGTAAGGAAAGTTAATAAGTTTGGTTGAAATTTTGTTAAATTATTAATTTTTTTCTATTTGATAAGAAATTAGTATTGAAAAGTTCATAAAAAAGTTATTGAGTAGTCTTACATAAAAAAAATTAAGAAAAAAATTTTTCTTTAAAAAGAAGTAGGAAAAGAAAAGTTATAAGTTAAGAATTATATTAAAAAAATAAAAATTAAAAATACTACTTTTACTATCATTTTATTGTAATATTAATATATAAAAATATAAAAATAAAATGAAAATTTACAGAATTTTAAGGGAGAAGTCTCCCACGACCAAATCAAACCAAACCAAACACCCCTTAAAGGTAGAACAACTTATTTTTTGCGTTTTTAAGGTAAGGCGAGTTATCTTGGCTTTATATGCATGCCATGTCTGCGCCACTAGGATAATACTACGACACATTGTCCACATTAAGCTGTGATCCGTCAACTCCTCTTCGTAACAACAGCAGACGATAAACAATGTTCAAGTTCCGGTTCATGATTCGACGTCCCTCCATCTACGCTCGTACTTTTCATCTCTCCAGTTTTTCTCCGAAATCCATCAATCTTCCCCTGAAATCGCAATTGGGTTCCTACTCCACTTCTTCCCAGTCACAGCAAAAGCTGTTCTTTCGCCAGCTCTTTGAAACGGAATCCTCCACCTACACCTACCTCCTCGCTGACTTCTCCCACCCACATAAACCCGCTATTGTGAGTCTTCTTGACATGAATACAATGTTTTCTTTGATTTTTAATTTTATGATCAAAAGTTTGTGTGTTTTGGATTTTTGTTGTGGAACTAAATTTACCCATGAGTGCTAGGGTGATGAAATGTACTATTAAATGAATTTCCAGTTGATTGATCCTGTGGACGTGACTGTTGATAGAGATTTATATCTTGTTAAAGAATTGGGGTTGAAGCTCATCTATGCCATGAACACTCATATGCATGCTGATCATGTCACCGGATCTGCCCTCATCAAGGTTGGTGTTTTCTCACCTTCTTCCCCTCTGATATTTGATTGTCTAAAATGGTTGTCATTGCACATTGCATTTGGTTATCAGTTGTTATCATATTGTAACATGCTTTACATGGTTGAAGTAATAATAAAGGGTTTAGCATATTGTAAATCTTGCCCCACTAATTTGGGATAAAGGATAATATGAATTAAGCTCATGTCATGCTTATTGGAGAAGAAAATCCATTTTTCCTTTGTTACCTCACCTTGTTACTTAAGTTGTTGTTTGTAAATGCAATGGACCCTTGCAGAGTAAGGTGTCGGGATCGAAGTCTATTATTTCAAAGGCAAGTGGGGCCAAGGCTGATCTTCTGGTTGAGCCTGGTGATAAAGTCCATTTTGGTGATCTCTTTCTTGAGGTAGGCTTGTGTGTATCCTTAATAGTGATACTGATGCAGGAAATGCAATGCCTTTGTTTCAATCTAGATTCTGGTTCGTATTTCTGATGAAAGAGTCAGCTTGTTAAACTTGAACTCAGTTTTCCAGAACTTCTGGGTGTGTAAATTATAGTTAGCTTATTTTATGAAGATGGCTGTTTGTATTAGAGGACTATCTCCCCACTGTAAAGAGCAACAGTGGAAAATGGACAATGTCGAATTTATAGGTAAGAAAATGTCTAAATCATTAATTGCGCTCTAAATAAAACGCACTAGTGCAGGTTCGTGCTACTCCGGGCCACACATTGGGTTGTGTTACCTATGTCACAGGAGAGGGACCAGATCAGCCTCAGCCAAGGATGGCATTCACAGGAGATGCTCTACTGATACGCGGATGTGGCAGGACAGACTTCCAGGTAGCACATTTTGATAAATCATATGGAATCCTGATTCAAAAATCTTATCATACTGATATTCAGCTATCAAAAGCTTAAGAATATTCAGAGCATCCAATGTATCAAAAAATTAGAAAAACTCACTTGTGTATGCATTCTGTCATAAAAGATTTAGGCAATTTCTGGTGTTCTTACTCCAATTCTGAGTAGACAAGGGACACACTTAGCCACAGACTTCATTTTGGAATATGGAACATTTTCCTATGACATTTAAAAGCTCCCTGCTTATTTGGATATTGTATTGTCTTCACCAATTTCTATGGGAACTATAGCCCAATTGAAAGAAAAATAATCTTTTGATTCCTATCAACATGAAGGGACCTCCTTAGAAGTTCATTCTGGTCTTTTATTTATCCTACTGGTCTTTTTTGCTACACTTGTGAGTCTGATTTCTGATTTGCAAGTTTCCTTAAGAAACTCACCACTAAGTGAATTATTTATTAGCAGTGTTAGACAAAAAATAAAAATGACCGAAATGACTTATTTTGTTTTTGTCGGTTTTGCAGGGTGGAAGTTCAAAGCAACTCTACAAGTCAGTGCACTCACAGGCAAGGAATTTAGAGTCAGTTTGTTTATGTTACAATTTAAATTAGGAATGAATTCTGGGGAGATAGAAACCGAAGTAGCTTGGATCTGTGCTTCATGAATCATAGATTCCATTCCACACCACACCCCCCCCACCAATTAGCAGTTATCAAAGTTGTAAAAGAAGTTCATTTTCTATGCTTTTCTGGAGCCAGATTTTTACATTGCCGAAGGACACACTGATATATCCCACTCATGATTACCAAGGATTCACAGTAAGATTTCATTTAATTTGTCTTTTCTAATGTATATTTATTTAGATGGATACTTTAGTTAAAACTCATTCATTTCAGGTTAGCACAGTGGGAGAAGAGATGCAATATAATCATCGGCTAACGAAGGATGAGGTAATTCTACTGTGGAAATATCTTTGTTTCTTTTTCTTTGGGAAATCATTGTCTTGTCTGTATTTCCAAGTGATATACCTGTTGCATTTAGATTAGTTGTAGGGAAAATTCCTGAACTTACTCTAGCACCGTTTTTCCCTTTTTTTGGCACATCTAATGATAAACTCTACTCTACAAGGAATAGCCATCCTCTTTCCCGTTAGCAATTTGTTGATTATTGATTAGATATAGGCTAAACTGGAAAAAGGAATAGCATGGTAATGTTCTTGTTATTTTCTTAAACCCATAACTACTGCAAACTTTATATCCTTGTTTTCTTTAATTTATTGCTAATTCTTCTCATTAAGGATACCCTTTTTTGCAGGAAACATTCACAAGCATCATGGAGAGTAAGTAGATATATGCTACATAGTGTTTTCAGAAAATGAAGTTACCATGCAAGGCTTGCAATCAAACTCTTATTGTTTACTTATTTTCTTGTGCAGCAGATCTCAAGTTGCCATATCCAAAGTTAATGGATAAAGCACTCCGTGCAAATATGATTTGTGGGTTGCAAGATTCAACTTCTGTAGCCGACTAAGCCTTTGTGAGTTGATGGTGTATGCTACATATTTCAATTGATATTGTAGAATAAAAGGTTTATGAAGGTGTGAAATAACAAGCGACTGACGTTGCCTACAAGATTGGTTATCATCAGAAGTGCAGAAGTTTGTCCTGAAAACCAATAGCAATTCTCTGTATTCAATTTCACTCCCCATGCCACTGAATGAAACTTGCCTCTTTTTTGGTTTGAATGTTTGAGTTATAATACATCACAATCATATTACCTCACTCAGCTTTAGTTATTTTACTTTGAATTGATATTGTAGAATAAAACGTTTATGAAGGTGTGAAATAACAAGCGACTGACGTTGCCTACAAGATTGGTTATCATCAGTAGTGCAGAAGTTGCTCCTGAAAACCAATAGCAATTCTCTGTATTCAATTTCACTCTCCATGCCTCTGAATGAAAGTTGCCTCTTTTTTTTTTTTTTCTTTTGATGGAGAAACTTGCCTCTTTTTTGGTTTGAATGTTTGAGTTATAATACATCACAATCATATTACCTCACGCAGCTTTAGTTATTTTACTTTGACCTTTTTATTTTCGGATATTAAGATTAGATGAGAAATTGACAATTGAATTTTTTTTTATTAAATGAAGCTATTTTAACAAAAA